AAAAGACCCCTGGATGGTTAAGTCCAGTCAAAGGCGACTATGGGGTTGCTGTGCTCATCTCGCTTTCAGGCAGAGGGAGCCGGTGTTTGTCCACAGACAGCTTTCCGGGTCAGCATGACTAAACCATTTCTGGTGCAACAGAACACCGTGACGGAAACCAGAGCGCACGGAAACGCCGTTTACCTTCTCGCCACAGTGGTACCAATTTATCTACTTGCACTAGCATGCTTTCAAACTGCTAGGTTGGCAGGAACTGGGACAGAGCAATAGGAGCTCACTCCATCACAGGGATTAGAACTGTCGACCTTCTGATCGGCAAGCCCAAGAGGCTCAGGTAGACCACAGTGCCACCCGCATCCCAACATAGGGGATAAGGCAGCCTCAAAGTAATTTTATTTATTTATACATACATACATACATACATACATACATACATACCGTACCCATCTGGCTGGGTTTCCCCAGCCACTCTGGGCGGCTTCCAACAGAATATTAAAATACAATAGTCTATTAAAAATTAAAAGCTTCCCTAAACATTAAAAGCTTCCCTATGGTAACTTGGTCCTGCGCTTTGTAGGACCTTATAGGTTAGTACCGAAATTCTGGACTTGACCTGGTAGCATGGATATGCTGGCTCCTGGACATATGAACCAGCCTATTAATCCCTTTCAGTGCAATTAAACAGCTATTTTGGTAAATAGAATTGGAATCTGACTCTAATTGCTCTCACTATACTTGCAACGAAGCCAACGAAAAAGTAATTCGCCTGCCTGCCTGCCCCCACCCCCACCCCCAGCAAAATTCCTGTTACAGTGACTGGGATATTCTGCCTGCCAGGCTTGGATCTGGTACCTGTATCTGCAAAGAGCGAAAGAGAGGCTTCAGCTGCATAGGCCTGCTGTTGCAATAAAGGGAGGGCAGGAAACAGGACAGGCAGAGGGAATTGTCATAAAGGAGAGAAAGAAATTAAAAAGGAATTGCAACAGGAGAACATGGAGGGGGGGGGGAGAGAGAAAACTTTCCAAACAAGTTATGTTGAGAACAGGCGACAAAATGTTCCGCTTTAAGAACAGGAAGAGTCAGAGCCTGGGGTTTTTTGGGGGGCGGAGGGTGACAGGCAGATTTGCTGCTATGTCAGGCTTGGGAACAGATGGCTTTGATCATCAATTCATTTCAGGAACAAAAAAAGAACCTGATGCAAAATTAATCATTAAGCAGGGGACTGAGAACAACCACATTCTCCTGGGGACAAGAGATTGCAAGTAATATCCATCCGGTTCATTTCCCATCCCTCCAGTGCACTGAAGAGGGGATAGGGCACTCAAGGTTGGGTTTAAATCCCCGCTTGGCCATGACGCTCACTGGGTGGCCTCGGTCAAGGCACTTTCATCTCAGGCTACCCTATCCTACCAGGGCTGCCTTGAGGATGGAAGGGGGGTTAGGGGAACACCCACCCAGGTGACCGTGTGCTCCTTGGAAGGCTCCCAAGACAAACACGAAATGTAATTCCAAGTGTTTCCTGAGTTTCTGTCGCCCAGACTCCGGATCGCATCTCTTCCAGACACTGCTACCTCCCACACTGAGCAGGGCATGACCGTGTCAGCGCTCTCAAAAACAGCAGGGATTTCTTCGCAGAATGAAAGAGCAGGCCTGGTGGCTCAGAGCCAAAGGCACATCTAGTCCAGGAAAGGGGAGTGATTTGGAGATATAGGTAAAAGGAGGCGTAATGCAGGTATGTCTAAAATAATGCACAGTGGAGAGAAAGTGGATGGAGTTTTCATTACTAGAACTCAGAGGCATTCAAGACAGACCAATTTAATTTGCTCTCAATCTTCATACCCTCCAACATTTCTCCAATAAAAATTTTGTTTAGTCGTGTCCAACTGGACGAGAGCACGCCAGGCACTCCTGTCTTCCACTGCCTCCTGCAGTTTGGTCAACCTCATGCTGGGAGCTTTGAGAACACTGTCCAACCATCTCATCCTCTGTTGTCCTCTTCTCCTTTCCCAACATCAGGGTCTTTTCCAGGGAGTCTTTTCTTCTCATGAGGTGGCCAAAGTATTGGAGCCTCAGCTTCAAGATCTGTCCTTCCAGTGAGCACTCAGGGCTGATTTCCTTCAGAATGGATAGGTTTGATCTTCTTGCAGTCCATGGGACTCTCAAGAGTCTCCTCCAGCACCATAATTTAAAAGCATCAATTCTTTGGCGATCAACCTTCTTTATGTTCCAGCTCTCACTTTCATACATCACTACTGGGGAAAACATAGCTGTAACTATACGGACCTTTGTTGGCAAGGTGATGTCTCTGTTTTTTAAGATGCTGTCTAGGTTTGTCACTGCTTTTCTCCCAAGGAGCAGTCGTCTTTTAAATTCGTGACTGCTGTCACCATCTGCAGTGATCATGGAGCCCAAGAAAGTAAAATCTCTAACTGCCTCCATTTCTTCCCCTTCTATTTGCCAGGAGGTGATGGGCCCAGTGGCCATGATCTTAGTTTTTTGATGTTGAGCTTCAGACCATTATTTTGCACTCTCCTCTTTCACCCTCATTAAAAGGTTCTTTAATTCCTCCTCACTTTCTGCCAATAAAAATAGGGACGTCCTATTCCATGATAATTATATATTTTATTATTTATACCCCACCCATCTGACTGGGTTGCCCCAGCCACTATAGGCAGCTTCCAACATATATAAAAGCATAATAAAACTTTTTTTTAAAAAAAAAAAAACTTTCCCTATACGGGGCTGCCTTCAGATGCCTTCTAAAGGTTGTATTGTTTTTTCCTTGGCTCGGGGGGCGCATAACTCCATACCCTCCGATGAAAATAGGGACATCCTACCATACCCTCCAACATTTCTCTAATGAAAATAGGGACCTCATAAGGAAAAGCAGGACATTCAGGGATCAAATCACAAACCGGGAAGGCTCACAATACGGGACTGTCCCTGGAAAATAGGTACCCTTGGAAGGTCTGAAATTTTGGATGGCTTTAAAAGAGGATTTAGACAAATTCACGGCTGCTAAACCTGATACCTTCTCCTGGAGTGTTTTTGCCATGCTGGCAAGGTGTCTCTTTGAACTAGGATACCGTATTTTTCTGTGTATAACACACCCCCATGTATAAGACTATTTTGGGGGACTCCAAATTAAGAAAATGGGGGGAAATGCCCAAAGTTGTTGAGCTTTTGGGGAGGGGGAGGGTCGACACGAAAACCGCTCGCCCAACAGAATTAATTTTTATTTATTTATTTATTTATTTATACCCTGCCCACTCTGGGCGGCTCCCAATAAAGTGTTAAAAACAATACAGCATTAAATATTAAAAACTTCCCTAAACAGGGCTGCCTTCAGATGTCTTTTAAAGAGAAGATAGCTGCTTATTTCCTTCACAACTGAAGGGAGGGTGTTTCACAGGGTGGGTGCCACTACTGAGAAGGCCCTCTGCCTGGTTCCCTGTAACCTCACTTCTCACAATGAGGGAACCGTCAGAAGGTGCTTGGAGCTGGACCTCAGTGTCCGGGCATTGCCTGTATAGAAGAAACCGTGCCCCATCTCAGGTTTTTAAAAGAGGTTTCTCTACAATATCAAGTCAATATGTTTTTGTGAACAGAGCAAAATGGTACGCTTAGGAAAATAATGAGAACATAATTTATGATTTTTTTAAATTGTGACTTTTTAAAAAAGCGCCGTGGTGGTTTAAATAATGATTTAAAGTTCTCTTGACTTAAAATATCAAAAACCAGCCTCTCTCTCTGAACTGGAAAACCCAGATCTGCATTATCGGCAGATTTGCTGTATCTGAGAAAGAGGCCTTCTTGAATGCTCTGGAAAATACAGGCAATTTCTGCCCAAGGTTAGATTCCAGAAGGCACCTCGAAATAACATGAAATCAAACATAACATTGGAGCGGGGGGAGGAGATGGCATTCTTTGCAAAGGCAATGAGCACCTGTTTGTCTGAGAAGGACACTTGTTTAAACCAAAATGCCTGTTTAGAAGATGATAAGCTCCAAACCCTGGCTGAGCAGAGAACCGTCAGCAGCAACACGCCCTTGAGCCCTGTTAAGGCAGAAGATTTGCTCCAGGGAAGGAGGGCAGAGCGCCATAGCTCTCCACCTATTCTGGCCCCTGGTGGGATCCGGGTACTTGTTTGCTCTGGTAAGAAGTTACCGTATTTTTTGCACCATAACACACACTTTTTTCCTCCTAGAAAGTAAGGGGAAATGTCTATGCGTGTTATGGAGGGAATGCCTACGGGTGGCATGCCTACTGATTTCCCTCCTCTAAAAACTATGTGCGTGTTATGGTCGGGTGCGTGTTATAGAGCGAAAAATACGGTACTTGTACGCATGAACAAACTTTTAAACGTCTCAAAAGAGGCCTTTTTACTGCATTGTCACGGGGAACGGACAGTTGAGTAGCAGGGAGCCCCGAGTCCCCTTCTGCATGAGGAATCGGCTGCATGCCCCTTTGCCTCCATGCTATTTGAAGAAGAAGAGGAGGAGTTTGGATTTGATATCCCGCCTTTCACTCCCCTTCAGGAGTCTCAAAGCGGCTAACATTCTCCTTTCCCTTCCTCCCCCACAACAAACACTCTGTGAGGTGAGTGGGGCTGAGAGACTTTAAGCAGTGGCTTCCCACAAGGCGTTGCTGGAGCGAAGAGGCAAAACTGCACCGGTGCTGCAGCGCGATTCCTGCTCCCTTCCAGTGGCATTCTGGCAGGCTGTGATTCTGCTAGGACACAATGCAAAACATCTTTGGGTTGGTCGCACACCACACTTCAGCTTCAAGCAGCAGAATGTTAACAACCGCATCGCCTTTTGCGAGGGCTTAAAATGACACAATGGTTTCACAAAATCTTTGGTCAACTTGACCAGTAAGGCTGTTTTTCGATACCCTTTCTTTCAAAAGCATTAAATTGCTTTATTTGAAGAAGATTGGCAGGGGTGTGGGTGGGTGTAGCCAGGAAAGAAAGAGAGACAAGAAGCGTCAGGAAACAGATGTGTGTTTTTTATTCTACACTTCATGTTTATTTAAGAAAAGCATTACCTTGAGCAGGAAACATTTGGAATATGGATCCTAAGATGTTTTATTTATTTATTTTTAATTTTTTAGGAAAACCCCTTGAATGTGGATCGAGACCGGTCCCTGATGTAAGCATGACCAAGTGTGTCAATTTCAATTTCTCTCGTTTTTCTGATATTAACTTTGGTCTGCCCCATTTTCTCACCAGGGTGCAATTTTTATAAATCCTGCACAAAAATGTGAATGCATTTTTGTGCATGCCTCTCTCTATGTAATCATTTTCCCCCCAATTTGCAAATAATTCCCCCTATCGCAATGCATTTTTGTGTGTGTCATTTTTTTCAAATATAGACATCGCCGTGTCCGCTTTCCCCCATAAATGCATTTCTGAACATTTTTCGGTTGTGGAGAACTGCATCAGAAAATTCAGCGAGCGCAAATCTTGGAAGGATGGCTGTGTTTCAGTTCGCAAGTTGGTTCTGGAAATGTGACAAGCTGTAAACTGGACCAATTTCTTCCACCACCTCCCTTTGCCTGTCAGGATGAGCCCCACCCCCTCCCCCACCCCAACCGAAGAAAGCATAGCCAACAAGCAAGAAATACACCAACATTGGGCTGAAACATACTTGGTTCCGCTCCCATTTGCTGTAACATGTTCTGGAGGCTAAATTCCTAAGTTCTAGAACGCCAAACCACCTGGGTTCTTCATAGCATCTCCACTGTTGCTCAAAGAGCTAACTTTTGTTGAGGCCTGTTGGACGCAAGGGAGAGATCTAGAATCTCTGGGCTAAGAAAATGAAAAGCCACAGGGTAGGTGGGGTGAGAAGGTTAGGCTTATACAGCCACAAGCATCCTGGCAAGTAGCTGCTTTATCTACATTAGCCTCAAGACTTCCACTAGCATTTCTCAAAATGATTGCAGGCCCATTAATGCCACTGTTGTCATGATCTTCGAGCAAAAGCTTATGAACCAGGTACCTCGACACTCTGGTCTGATGCTGGAGATGTCACCCAGTCTCTGCCCACCTGTCTCAGTGCTGTGGGGGCACTGACTGGCAGTGGGTCTGCAGGGTTTAAGAGGGGGTCATTCCCAGTCCTACCTGGAGATGCCTGGGACTCAACCAAGAACATTCTGCCTGCCAAGGAGGTGCTCTGCCACTTAGTTAGCACTGCAAAGAAGAAGGGTTAGGAAAACAAAGGGCAGCCTACTTAGCCAAGCGAGTTGCCATTTTTAAAGAGAGCCGGTAACGACGACTTCAACCTGAGTATGGCTTAGTGAGTAATCAAAAATTCACTTTGCAAAGAAGACTGTAAACAGAGCAGGTTATTAGCACAGAGTGCATCTTTAGTTAGAAGAATTTAGTTGATTAAAATTAACAATCATACAGCGTTTTCCTTTAAAAGTTTCCCAAAGTTATTACAAGAGAGAAGTGGTCTTTCATGATCTTCTGTCTATAAAAGGCTTCAGAGTCTTTCCATTCATCACGAGGGAGACATAATCGTAAAAGAGGGAGGGGGAAAGGCAACTGTAGTGTTTTCCTTATAAATGACATCTTACGTTCATATGCCACTCAAAGTTTATGCCACAGGAGCGCTTCAGCTTTCGTTTCAAACTCTTCGTCCAAAAGCAAAAGGTTTATCAGTATTCCCTTTTAAATTCTCTTTATGGAAACCAAGAGCTAATATATATATATGTATGTATAAAATATATAAATAAGAGGGCATTAAATCATAAAGTTACTGTAACTTAATTTTTTAGCTAGACCTGATAAAGTCTACCGAAGCTACAGACTGTTAAATAAGAACCACATTATAAAAATTAGCAAGACAGAAACCGAGTGCCAATCTTGCCAACTCAAATCCAAAATGGTACTAGTCTTTCTTTTAAAAAAAAGTGCAAAAAAGTATATAAGGATAACTACGTATTAGCAGAGTTCATCCCAAATTAGTTCCCAAACTTGCCCCAATGAAGTTGAATTCAATGTTGCCTCCTCCCTCACCCCCTCTCTTCATTTTTAACCTGCATTGCAAGTCAATTTTTAAAAGAAAGGATAACTACGCACATTAATGTCCAAATGAACTCACTATCGGACAAGCACAGAGCGAAACACTCCTGAACACAAGCGCAGCATGCCAGCCACTCAGACAGAAGTCCTTGAGGAGTCCTTGAAAGGGTACAAACTCAACACTGCATTAAAAAAAACAGCACACCTGTAGGATTTCACAACCAAATGAGAGCTTGCTTCTGTCCCGCTTTCATCAAGCTTGCCTTTTCCGCCAGCTCCAACCCGACCCCACCCGACCCCAGTCCACAGGTACAGTTTGCGCTACCATGTTTTAGTGTACAAGCAGGGGAGAGAAATATAATTCCTGGACACCCCACATCCCTCTCTTTTCTCCTAAGATGTATAAGGACTAGGGGTGAACCAACAGTCTAGAACAGTATATAGTTATGTGCAAATATGTCCACTAGCGCCGTTGAGTCTCCAATCTATTCTTTACAAGGATGGGGCTCTGGCAGACGCGGGTTGCAGCTGCTTCACAGTCCGGCACATGGTCTACTAAAAATGGCAGGTACTTCTTATAATATTGAAGTGATTAACAAAAAAAGGGGGGAGGGGAAACGGGAGAGAAGAAAATCTAATTTTCATGGTGCAAGTGTGGACCTTTTATGCGATGCTCCCGCAAGCTGAAAGTAAGAAGTACCATCTGCGGGAGAAGGCTAGGTTGAGATTAAACAGTGAGTAGGGAGAGAAATCTGCAACGAATGCAACTGTAAACCACAAGCCTAGTTCCCCCTGCACCCCCAAAGTCTCTTGTGCACACACAGTTCAGCCCGAACCGGCCTCAGAAAATTCCACTCAGTTCTGCAAAACCTCTTGCCAAGTTAGGTTCCACCACCTTGGCCTTTATAGGAGGAAAGGATTGGTAGCGTTAGCAGGCTGGGAGGCCGAGGGCGGGAGCCCGGTACTGTGAAGAGGCTGAGCCACTGCGCCCACAAGCCCCACGTTCATCCCATGGCCCATTCGGGTAAGAGATGCCACGGTGCCCATGACTGGCATGGGTGCCATCGCCACCGGTGCCACGGAAGGCAGAGGTACAGGCTCCATGCCCGCCACTGGCACACTGCTGAAGGACGGGCTGCTTCCCATGATGGGGCTCGACCGCAGCTGATTGAGAGTGAGGGGCTGAGGCTGATTCACTTGGAAGGGGTTGATTAGCGATGGAGCTGGAGCGGCGGCAGCAGGGGCAGCGGCGGTGGCGGCCGTTCCTAGGGGAAAGACAAGGGGTGGGGGCAAGAGAGGCACGTGAGCCTGTTAAGTATATCTGATTTGAAAGGGAGTCGTCCGCACAAATACAAGACAAGATTCCACACCGTTCCAAACTTCCCCCGAAAGATTATACATTGCCCAGGCTCCCCCAAAATCCGCGGCAGAAGAGTGTGATGCCCTCTGCTCTTGGGTGACATCTCTTTAGAGGGCAACAGGGTTACACACCTGAGCAATGAACGTTGCCAGAAAAACTGTTTGGAAAGAAAATGCTATTGCCCCACTGCCAATAGCTTCCTAGCACAACCAAGAGACGATTCTGCAGAGTTTACCAAGGCGTTGTGACGTCTTGCTTTCCAAATGCACTCACCCTCCTTGGTAAGGTTTGAGAACCCGAGAGTTATCCCAAACTTTTGTCTAAGTTAACAACTGCAACACATTCCTATAACATCCCCTTTCATTTCCTATCTATCTATCTATCTATGCTCGCCACCCTTCCATTCCAATCCCAGTGCAGTTTAAAACCTTACATAGAAGGCTATCAATAAGCAAAATCTGAAACCAATAAAAGCGCATTTAGATGCATGCAGTTTAGAATACAATCATAAACTCCATTAGTTCTGTAAACCAGGTATCATTAACTCCCTGCCCCCTGCAAGGCCTGGGTGAATAACCATGTTTTCATGAGGCACCAAAAGGTAAGCAAGATTGGCACCTGCCTTATTTTGGAGGGAGATGGCTCCACAAACTGAGCATGACAGAAGGTATTTCTGAAGGCTGTGGCACAACCAAGAGGGCTTCCTCCCAAGGTATCAGGAGCTGGTGTGGTTTATATGGGCAAAGGCATCCAGGTCCCCAGGTTGTTCAGGGCTTTATAAGTCAACACAACACAGCCTTATACTCAGCCCAGTAACAAACTGCTGCCAGTGCTGCTCTTCAAAGGAAATTCTGCACCAGCCTTTGCCAACCTGGCACCCTCCAGATGTTTTGGAGTACAGCTGCCATCGGTCCCACTGGTGAAGACTGCTGTATACTGATTTCTCCTCTCCGCTTTTGTAGATGGACAGCCTTGACAAGCAGAGTCAACATCCAAAAACAGCACAGGCACTCCATAGACAAAATGCAGAGGGTTACTTTCAGGGCGTGCCTCGGAGCTTGTGCGTGCCTTGTCAGATATATTAGCATTTTGTTTTCAACAAGAGACAGCCTTGGAAACTCCCCCTAAGTTCCAAAAGCAGCTCAGCATGAAGCATGAAAACAGAAGCCTGGAGCGATCGTGGATGCACAGAACCTGCTGCACGGATTCTTTGGACCAGGCCCATATTTAACATATGTCATGAACGTGTAACTTCAGCAAGTCATATCCAGGGAGGGAGGGAGAAGCTGGAAAATGGCAAGGAAGAACTTTCCCAGGATAGGACATTTGGGCCGACTGCCAAGCTACAAATTCCTTGTACACAGTTTGGTTTTTTTGTCAGACCTTCGTGACCCTGGTAATAGCTTCTTCGTGAGCGCCGATAACAAGAGGGGCAGGGCATTAGCTACTAAAATTTGGCTGTCTTCCTCTGAGGGTGTTCTCAAACTACTGAGAACTAAAATAGCCAGAACAAGTCACTGAAGCTCAAAAAAAGGTTGCTTGAACTGTGTTTTGTGGTTGCTTAGTTCCAACTGTTTCTCCACATGCGCCCCTTGGGCTTAGGGGCTACAGCACTCCCCTTACAAAACCCTTCCATCCCCAGGGCACAGATGCAACAGATTTGGCCCACCTTGGCCCCAAATCATGAACTTGCTCGCAAAATGCATGAAGGCAAAGCCACCCATCAAACTTGATAAGCAGCCGCTTTAAAGGTGGAAGAAAAATAGAGGCTGTTCCATCCTACAGAACTGTCCTGCTACTGAGAATGGTAAGGGAAACAGCTTGGTGGGGAAAATTACTATGTATGCTACCTTGAGCTCCTTAGAAGAATGGCGAGATACACCATAATACATAGATATATGCACTCGGTGATTAAATTGTTACATACAGGATTAACTCTACCAGTGGCAATTTAAGCTAAGGCCTCAACTTCTGTTTGCCATGCGTAAAATGGCAACATTAGCAGCCTGCCTTGCAGGGCCACTGTGAAGACACACGGGAGCAGCACTGGGTGGGGAGGGGGGGAGAGCAGCACATGTAAACTACCAAGGCTTGGGATTATTCACAAGGGATGGACACCTCCCTGCTTCAGAACTGCCTTCAGTAGGTGGGGTGTTGAGCTGGGTGAACCCTTGAGTCTGGCCAAGCATGCCAACTTCTGTTTTTAACGACTGTTGTCCCCACCCCACCCCGCTCCATCTGAACAGCAAATTTGCTCTCAAGACCAAGATGTACCTGGAGCCAAGAACGGGTTCAGTGAAGGGGCTGGCTTGGGAGGCTTCGATACCAAGGAATCCAGGTTCACCAGAGCGGCGTTGGGGCCCAAGAAAGACTCGGGAGTTTTCCGAGCCGCGCTCTGTTTACTCGAGGCTGAGTTGGCAGGCTGAGAGTCAAAGAGGTCAGGGCTGGTAGTGCCACTGTTCTGGGCTGACAAAGTGGAACCTGAATCGCCAGAAAAGAAAATGTGAATTTTTGAAAAAGGGAGGGGGGGAAGATGTTTCCTTCATGTCAGAATACATGCTTCTGTATTTGTAGTGTATTTCGTTTGTCCCTGTTTTTACTGCCATGCTAAAGGACTGCAGTCCTAAGCCAATGTGCTTAGAACTCAATGGGGTTGCTTCCAAGTAAATGCATTTAAGGCTGAGACATACACCTAACATGGGGAATGGGGACGTTATATAGCTTTCTACCACTAGAGAGCCTCAAATCTTGGTGTGTGTGTGTGCTTGCTTTTACTTCCCCCAAAATCACTTCATTTAATGGGACCATTAAAAGGTGTTGCATCTAAAGCAGGTCAGGCACGAGTCCTTCCCATTCTGGAGAATAAGGACTCTAGAATCGCAATTACAGGGTAAGATAATAGAAAGTTTCTACAAACTGACCTTGGTATCCTTCTTTAGAGTGCTGTTGGATACAGACACGGATTAATTGTCTCTATGGAGAAGACATTCAGAAGCATGAGATTTTTTGACTCCCCTCTATTCTATTGCCATTACAAAACTGTGCATTCAGCCATGCCCCATGATCAAAGGGCTTGACTATTTAAAAGAGAGAGAGACAGACAGCTTGACCTGCCTTTAGCCAGATCACACAAACCGCTTAAATCAAAATACATAGCTATAAAATATGCAGGATGAGGTCAGATGTGGGTCTTTTCCTTCTACATAGATTTCCACAACACTGAGAACCCAAAGGTGATGGACTAGGCAGGTGTCACGTGGTTTAAAAAAGAGAGCAGGTGCTCTGTTCAATTCCTCTTCAGGCAGGAGATGGGAAAGGGCTCTCTCTCTTTGCCCAAAGTGCTGGAGTGCTGCTGCCTTTCAGAATAGGCAATACTAGGCTATAGGGCTGGATGACATCATCTTTTCAACATCATGATGTATCACCAGCTAAACATCGTGATAGGCTGATACATCGCAGTGTTGAAAAGGAAGGTGCATCATTTGGCCATGGTCCCACGAGGCATCAGGGTGAAACTGCCTCAGTTCCTGCCGCCACCAGCACCTGGCGCAGGGAGGAATGAGGCAGTCGGAGAAGGAAGGTAAGGCGCAGGGTGGCAGGCGATACATCGCCCAGGCCTACTAGGCCAAATGGATAAATACGCCTGTAAGGCAGCATCCTCTGTTCCGCCACACCATGAACAAGTTCCTTTTTGGCTCTGTGGGGGAAATGGAACCCACCGCACACAATAAAATCAAATTCCAACTGAATTGCTGTCTCTCAATTGCTGCAAAACGTACAGTGCAACAGGAGAGCCAAGCAGCTTTCCAAACGCTTTGGAGCAAAGTGCACTGGGAATTCCAGAGCAACCACAACTGAAACCAGCGGGGGAGCCTTGCACAACAATGGTCTTGGTCGACTCTGGTCTGTTTCAGTGGTGCCCGCAGAGGAGTCATTCCCAGCGGATCATGTGCTCTCAAAATCTTAACTCAGAATTTCCACTCAAACCAAATTTCTACAGCATCCTCTACCCCATTAGCCCTCGGCTGAATTTACTGCAACTGTGACATTTTTAATGTCTCCAGGCTTTGGGCTGACAGCCTGAAAGGTACATCTTGATTAAAAATTATCGAAGGACGAAGTTCTAAATAAAGATCAGAAAATATGCTTTAAAAAATATGCAGTTTCCCCTCCAGAATACTGGCCTTTTTATCTTCCATTTATGGTAAGTCTAGACACACTTGGAGGGTGGGTGGGTGTGTGCAGAAAGAGGACTGGTGCAACTGGAAATTCCAAAGCTCTATCACGCTCAGGCACCTTTATCACACATTCGTTTGGCATTTATTTCACACATACCTTGCTTTTTAGATGTCCGAAGGTTGTCGAATTCAGAAAAGTCATCTTTAATTGCCCCATTTAAGTTGCTGAAGAGGTCAAAAGATTTACTACCTGCAGGGCAGAACAACAAGGTCCTACTGTTAGTGGGATTCAGTTAGGCCACAGCAATCTGTAAGGCAAGAGATGAAGCTGCTTCCCCTTCTGTCCCAGCAGAGGCCAAACTGTCCCTATCAGAACTGGGAATATTACCTCTTTGGGACAAGCCTTTTCCAAGATGGTGCCCTCCAGACATTTTAAACTACAACTCCCAGCAGCCCCCACCAGCATAGTCAATAGTGAGGGATGATGGGAGAAGCTGTCCAACAACATCTGGAGGGCACCAGTTTGCGAGTGGCCACTTTAGGATTAGCAGAGCAAGTGATTCACTCCCTTTGGTTTAAGAGAGATTGGAGGGCTTGTTTATTTGATTTCATTCCCATTCTGCCCTACCTCTGTGAAGCTCCAGGTGGCTCACAGGGCTCAGGCTGCTTATTTTCAGCAGTACACCTGCCATTATGGCCTTCAGGCCACTCTCTGGTCCGAGCAGAAACAAGTCAATCCACTTCACAGGGCACATGTGTGACCAAGCGTGGCCCAGGAGTGACCAAAACAGGTAAGGGGAGAGGGACCAGCACTGCAGGGCTGACAAGGTGTACCAGCAAAGCTCAAAATGCAAAGGAAATCAAACTCTGGCTGGCCCCTTGGGATAACTCAGTCAAGGGAGAGGGAGTGGTCTGTTGCCCACAGGTTGGGAACCACTGACCTAGAAAATTCACCTAAACAAAAGTGAAACAAAACCACCCACCACTTCCCAAGGCAGACCATAATATTTCTAAATGGTGCATTCGCAAAAGTGTTAAGATTCTGTGCCAGTGCCAACCATCCCCCCAGGTGCAAGAACCACCAGCAGGCATGTGTTTTGCTGTGAGCTCCACTAAGGGATGTTTCCCCAAAAGGAACAGAAAGGTGAGTCGCAAACACGCTGCTTACCAGAAGCAGAAAGAGGCTTGTTTGCTGGCACTGCTCCCCAGGGATCAACAGCGGCTTTTGTTGCCACAGAGGGTGGCTGAGAGGGACCCCAGGGGTCTACATTCTTTGGAACAGGCTGGGCAGCAGAGGGCACTGCTGGGGCTCCCCAGGGGTCGACGGAGGCTGCTGGTTTGGCACCTGACGGCAAAGAAAACATAATCCCAAGTAATACATTAACAGGCATATATACTTGAGAACAGGCACTACCTGTGAGATAGGCTAGGCTGAGAGTAACTTAGCCCAAAGACACTCAATGAACAGATAGCTAAATTAGATATTTGAACCTGGCTTGTCTGTTCCTGGGCCGACACACTAACCACGGCGTGGCTCTCTCGCAGTTGCCAAATCCTTTCTCATTCTGGACTTAACCAGCATCATCTGTCAAGCACAGGATCAGGCCTGTGTGCATCCCCCATGCCATGCATGCCAGCAAAATGACAGGGAAGGTAGAACTGTTTTAGAAAAACTCCGGTAGAATGACCAACACTTCCTAACCTGCCCCAACGCAAAATGTTCTTTGCCCTCAAGTATGGCTATGCTTAAAATAAATTCCACTGAAAGACAGCCAATGTGTGTACATAAAGAGTTCTTAAAAAGCAAATTCCAATACAAGATTCATGGAATCATAGAATTGTAAAGTTGGAAGGGAACCAAGGGTGGCTTAGTCCAATCCCCCACCTGCAGAAATCAGTTTGGTTTAGCATCAATGAGCTTTGGTGCAGAAGGGAGCAATTAGTGCTGTGAGGTAAGAAGAACAGGATGTCCCCCAATAATGTTCTTATTTCTTATACTTCATTCTTATGTTTTTATTCCAGGAAGTTCAAGGCAGACACATAGCCATATCTTCACAAAGTGGGGAGGGAATATAAGAGAGAGATAATGGCTGGCCCTAGATCACTCTTAGGGCACCCTGGTCTAAGAGCATCCAGGAACAGGCAACCTGGTGCCCTCCAGATGTTGCTGGACGACCAACTTCCATCAGCCCTAGTCAGCACAGCCAATGGCCAGGAATGGTGGGAGCTGTAGTCTGCCAGGACACGAAAGTTCCTCACCCATGTTCCACACCTGCTGGCTCCGAGCAGTAACCAAATTGCCTTTTTTCCCATTTTGTGGCCAAAGTTTGTGAGTTTTAAACCCCATTCTGGCTAGCTGCTGTTCTTGCTGCTGAAAGGAGCTCAAGCTCATCAACAGGTGGCAGATTTTTCTTCCAATTTTAATTGTTTCAACAACAACAAAAACCCAGGAAGCCGCTGAAGTGCTTTGCAGAGAACACAACTAATCTTGTCCCACTGCTCCCATTTCCTCCTCCTCCTCCTGCTGCATTTTTATCAATGATGCCATCCAAGAAATGCTAATTGCCAGGGCCTGCCATAAATGGAGGCTTCCAGCACAGTCGCTCTTTCATGAGACAGATAACAAAAGCAGGGCAGGCAAAGAGAAACAAGAGGGAAAGAGGGAGGCATCTAGGAGGATACGCTTCTCCTCTGAGAAGCCCCTTATCCCCCCTTGAAAGGCCACAGTCCAGTGGTAAGCAAGACTTAAAAACCTCTGTTCTGCTCTGAGTCACCCTTCTGTGCTGGCATTCAGATACATAAATCTAATTTCTGCAAAACCACTCCTGGGGGAAAAAAGTAGCTGGCAAATTCCAACAAGGGGCTCTTATCGCAGGCGTTAATGAATGCTGAAAGCCAGAGAGGGGGGGAAACGCCACAGCTGCAGCTAGAAGCGACAAGTTTTTGTTTGTACCTTAATACACAGAATTGATTTAGTTTTCCTGTGTCAAGAATAGAAGTTAACAAGAGAAGCTTTACAGCCCCAGGACCCAGGCCTTAGTTTGGCTTCCCTAATATGCTGTTTGATTAACAGCAACAAAAAAAGGGCAACCTGACCCAGGGACTAGACAATTAAAAATGTGGTGCAACACAGGATGAAGAGAAATAGCGTCTCATATTGTGTAGGTTACATTATGAGACATACAACATTCCAGCGAAAGCCCAGAACCGTGTTTGGCTTGGTAAAAGGGGTGATAGCAGCCAAGGAAATTCTGCATTCCATTCTTGTACAAGGTGCATAATCTGGACCAGACGGCTCTTTGCAGCACCAGTTCCTGCCCTATTTTACAAGTGAGATAAGCAAGGTAAGCATTGCAAAAGACCTCTGCAATACATGGCAAACAAGCAGAAGGGCAGCCGCAAAATGCAAGAGGAGTGTAGTAGGTATCTAAGAAGCCAATTAGTGTTTTCCGCTGGGGCAGACTCGCTGGACTGTGTCCTGGTTCTGGAAGCATCTAGTGCACATGCGCGCCAAACCATACTTATGCTGAAGCAATCTACCTACAAACGCCAACAGAATCCTGGCAAGTTCAAAGGCTTAACTTGGGATTCTGGAACAGGGAAGGGACCACACAAAGGCTTCATGGAAAACCTGGGAATGATGAACCTGTCCTAGAGCAGAGCCAGGTGATTCTACGTGTTAGCTCAGCTGGTTAGAGTGTAGTGCTAATAATGCCAAGGTCAAGGGTTCAATCCTCTTATGGGCCACCTGCATATTCCTGCATTGCAGGGGGTTGGACTAGATGACCCTCGGGTCCCTTCCAACTCTACAATTCCATGATTCTATTATCCTTTGCTAGAGAATTGAAGGCATCCCCCTTAAGAGTCCAGCCTGCTGGAACAACTCTCGATATACAAAAGCAGGCCATCTTTGCAAGAGTGGCACTGTCTTTTCATTGCTTTAGTCTAGTCCCATGGTCAACTGCAGATCAGGAAAGCAAACAATGCATCTCAGTACAAGGGATTTAAAGTCTTTTGCTTTCAACTTGTAAAATGAAGCTGTGCGTTAAGATATACAGTAGAGAATGATTTGTCGTTAATTCAAAGGGATCTGTTAAGAGCAGTGTTGCAGATTTCAGTCTCAACAGTGCCAGGAATTTTCCACACTAACACATTTTGGCCTGGCTAGCAGAGATCCTTGGGTAAAACACTGAGGGACAATGCCAAGGGTTCCTTTACTGTATTTAATGACATGGGATTTACAAGAGAACCAAACTCAGGCTGTTCTGCTATTCCCGTTTGGTAGTAACTGGTGCTGACAGCAGCCACTAAGGGAATATTACTTCCCAGATAACAAGTGTTTGGTAAACGAACTCTGCACACCCCCAGGTGCCTTTGCAACAACTGCTCCACTTGGTTCAGGATTTGCTAGGCTTAGGAGGTGTTGCTTTTGTTTTGTTAACCATTTCGCAAAAATAAAAATAAAAATCCAGCATTGCCTTGCACAATGACTTGTCAGAATTGCCCCATAGTTGAGGCAGCTGTCCAGAGAACTAAAATGATAGCAGCACCCAACCAACTTCTGTTTTAGGGAAGGGTTTGTACATCAGTGTCAGAGAATCTGTTTTGCATGCAAAGGATCCTGGGTACAATCCCTGGCATCTTCAGGTATAACTGGGGGGAAACCCTGAGTGAAACCCTAGAGAGCTGCAGCCAGTCACTTCTGACATTGCTGAACCAGAGAGACCCATAGTCTAGCTTGGTGTAAAGCAACTTCCTATGTTCCTTTCATTGACGCATCTATTGCTGACACCAGCAGATAAAACAGGATGCCGAACAACCACAAAACCACTAGATTTTCCTATTGACTAAGCAAAAGTCCCTCCCTTCCTCAGGACATTTTCATAGATAACTGGCTTCCTTACCTATTCTTTTGCCCTAAAAGCACTTCACATTCTGTGCTCTATGAACCTGAGCTGATTTCTTGGTACCTATGCAACCAGATCACATAAGGACCTGCTCCAGCCAAACTGTCCCCACCCCTACTTCCCCCAAAGGGCCAAGAGACACCACCTGTCCCTTCAGGAACAGGTGCCCAAAATAGCTTTTCCGGTATTGGAAAATGATCTCTAATGAGTTGAAAAATATGTTTGAAATAACTTTCCCAAAAAGACCAGAGTCCTTTTTCTTGGGAATAATCCAGACTGAAATCCCTAAGTGTCAACAAAATTTATGTATGCAACAATGTCGGCCAGAGTTTTGTTAGCTCAAAAATGAAAAGTGAGGGAGGTCCCAGGCAAAGAGGACTGGCAACTTAAGATGGTATTAACATAGAGAATAAGAGAGCAAGAGGAACATATATTCAAAGAAGAGTGGAAAATATTTATTGAGTATATGGAAAATAACTGTACACAGCTGAAAACGCTGGCAGCATTAAGATAAAATCAACAATGTAATTAATGTTCAAGTGATGTTAAAGTGGAGAACTGACTAATATGGTTACAGCAAAATATGCAGGAATGAAGGACTAATAAAACGAATCAAGGAAATAGAAGGAGGGAAGTCGTTTGATATTTAACAGTACGTAAAATGTTTATTTTAAGATGTAAAATTGAAAACTTAATAAAAATTATTTTTAAAAACCAAACAAAACAGAATACGTTTTCCTGGTAGTACATTCTGGCCCAAAGAAGGTGGTTGGCCAATGGAGTAAATAGGCCTTTCGTCTGATCCAGCAGGGCTCTTGTGTTCTTTTTTTTAAAAGCAGCCGTTAATGTTGCTTTAATAGATTTCTCCAGTTTGATCATTTCAGAGCTGAGCGATATGCATTTAATTTGGAATAAAACCTAAACTACACATGGGATCACTTCACATTTAAGGTGGAGCAGGGAAGAGGAAATGCATTTGAATGCTCCCCGATGTAAAGAACTTCCCGTCTGTTGAAAGTTAGCGCACATCTGGGAAACGGATTCTGAATTAGCCTTTTTTCATTAATCTGCCATGTTTCTACACACATCGTTTTATATATTTATCCTGCACCTCCAGTGCGAATTAGGAAGGCTGTGTCACATGAAGAGGAACACACACACACTCAGAAAAGTGAACCTTTCCAGGTGCTAGAAAGCTCTACACTTCCTTAACAGTGCCAGGCTCACATAAATGCCCACCTGGCACCAGTGGCATGAGTCCCAGTCTCTAGAAAAAAATTAGGACAGGACTTATTCTTCTGCATGGACATTTCACTTTCTCCAGCAGCTGAGGAACAATGTCTGGATAATCCACAACAGTTCAATAAAGCACCATATATTTTATGCACTCTCCCTCACCCACCCAAAATTAAAAGGCCATTGAAATGGCCCTAAAACCCTTTTACCAAAGGGTTAAAAATTGAAACACATTAAAAACTACATTTTACTGCATAAGCACTGGTTGCGAGAAAGGAAAAAGCCACACAAAGAACTTAATTGCTTAAATACTACCCCAAATAAATACATCCTTTCGCATGACGGACAGTATTAAAAACAAACTAATTCACTGCTGTAGCCCTGCTAATTATAGCAACTTGGCTTGGAGTTCTGTCACTGCTTAATATAGTGGCTTCATCAGTAACACAGCATAGTTACCAGTGAGATTCCAAGCCCCCTTTCCAAGGAAGACAAGTCGTCTCTGCCATAAGCAGAGCAGTTCTGTATCAGCAAGCACCAGTATCAAGTTTTAAAAAACAAAGAGAGACCTTCAAACCAGAGGCCAGCAGCACACTGTTCAGTCAACTGAGCATTCCATTACACCTATCCACTCTCATATTAACTGCTTTTTGGAAATCAGCAAAAACTCCACCACAATCTCTATGACACAGGCAAATATGCTCAGGTCGGTCTAGGGAAATCACAGATCATATTTCCCCCCCTCCTAATATTGCAGCAATCAACAGGGCAAAATCAGGAGGCGAAGCAGAACAAAGGCACAATGTGAGACCATAAAAGGAGGAAACAGCCACCACAAACTGTCTCATGCATGACAGCCAACACCGAAAAACTGTGATAGCAGGGGATTGCACAGGGATGACAGTGGCAGAAAGCAGGTGGCACTGAGAGGAATAATAATAATTTATTATTTGTAGCCCACCCATCTGAGTCCAAAAGGATATTGAGCCCTCTCCTCCCACCCCAGTCTTTGGAATTCTGTCTCCAGGGGAGCTTGCCTGGTGCTTATTCTATTTTTCTTTTCTGTGCCTGGTTTCTCCATTTTTTGCTGCTTTTATCCATTTTCTGATGTTTTAGCATTTGGGACATAATTCATCTTTTTTTACCCTGACAACTGCACAAGCAATATTCATAACTAACCAAACAAAGGGGAAGGCAATAGCAGACTGTCACAGTCTACCACTGAATAAGCTATATACAAAAGGAAAATTGGGGGGGGGGGGTCACTAACCTAGAGAGAAAATTTAAACTCAAAGTGGCCTTGGAGGGAAGTAATTTATCCAGGAGAGTCACAACAAGGGTCAACAGATCATCACTGCAGCATCCGTCGATTGCCATGTTCTTACCAAATGACTGCCAGGGGTCTGAGGTGGAACTGCTAACTGTAGAGGGGGCCCATGGGTCAGCTTGGCTTGCTGCAGGTGGTGGCCCCCACGGCTCTCCTTTCTGAGGAGCTGGCACTGAAGAGGGCAGGGCATCCATCAGGTCCAGCAGAGTTCCGTGCTGCAGATGAAGAGGTTTATTTTTAGCAGGGGCACAACATCTCCAGTAGACACATAACTCATTTAGAGAGAGAGGGACAGAGAGATTGCAAGGAAAGAAAATGCCTCATCTTGCTCTTTCACATGCCCTTAGCTGCTTATTTGGGCTTTTATCCCAGCACCGGGGGCGGGGAATTACAACCATGCACTCTTTCACATGCTTACACAACTGGAGAGCACCCCATCCATTCCTAAGTGCATAGCCAGTGCATCCGAACCTTCCCTGTGATGGCTAGGAATATTTTCACTGACCCAAGGCCTACCTCCTTCTTTTTGGGAATTTTCACTGTATCTCTGCGACTTTCCTCCAAAGCCATCTGCAATCTCAGATCATCGCCACGCCGAAGGCGCTCCTCCTGGAAAAAGAGGTCCCAGTGGGGAGGGGAGAAGATGAGAGTGGGAGTCATATAACAGTCATCCATTGTTACTTCATTCATGCCAGGTTTAAAAACAACGGGTCCTCTACTGGTAGAAGCCAAAGCTACACAAATCTTTTTAAAAGACAGCCTAATATAATTTAATTAACATTAGACACTGCAACCATGAGTTCTATGATGAAAGGAAGACAGGATAGGAATGTAAGAAGATTTTTTAAAAAAACAAAACCAAACAACAGACTATTCAAGAGGAAAAAAGAAACCTCTAATGTCGGAGGCAGTATGCCTCTGGATAACATTTGCTGGGAATCGCAAGTGGGGAATCACAAATGGGGAACAGTGCTGTTTCTTGCGGGCTTCCCATGGGCATCTGGTTGGCCACTGTGACAACAGGATGGAGGATGGACTAGATAGATCTTTGCCCTGATCCATCAGCCAGGCTGCTCTTATGTTCTTATAGTTGTATGAGTCACTTAGTTTTAGCCAGCCAAAGTTAAGCAGCAGACTACTAGTCCAGCTAGAGGACAAAACTAGCTGGACACTAAGAACTTAGGTCATTTCTACACCTAAGAACAAGCAGTAAAACCAAAAGCTCAGTCAAACCTTCCCTTGGCAGTGAAGACCAAAAAATCAAGAGAAAAGAGGTGAGCAAAAAGATTTATTTAGAGAAGGCATTGTAGCGTAGGGGCTACCATTAAGAAAGTCCCCCCCCCTTTCATTTCCCATGCTTGGTTTACCACCATCCTTCATTCACTGACAGAGCCTCTACCAACAAGCTAAGCACACCAAAGCTCAAATATCTAGTTAGGTAAATGCAGCAGCTATAAGAATCACAGAATCATAGAATTGTACAGATGGAAGGCGTCCCATAGGTCACTGAGTCCAACCCCTCATCCTGGAGGCCCCACATAACAACCGACATTTGCGCCCGTCTGCCTAGGACACGATAGCCAGTGTGGTTGCGGTGCTCCTGTTACCTGAGGTAACGCTGGGTGGGGCTCGCAGCCCACACTGGCCCAGAAGCTCCCGTGCATCAACAGGCAGTCGCTGCTGGAGCAGCCTGTGCCCTGGAGGATGGGGTGGGTGCTGCTGACAGCTGCACCACTCGGGAGTGGTGGGGTAGAGGGTGGCCCATTCTGCTCTCTGTACCCGGCTAGGTTCTCTGCCTTCCAGCCCTTCCTCCCTCAGGAAGGACAGGCTGCCCATGAAGCCTAGGCATGCACCCAGCATCCCATTTCTATGGTAGGTGGGGGGGGGGCACGTATTGGAGCCTCACCTGGGCATGTCCACCTGGGCCCTGAAAGTGCCTTTCTAGTAACACTAGTTCCCCAACTGTGGAATCCCCACTCGTGCCCACTCCTTGTGGCACCAGGGACAGAACTTCCAATTTCCCAAAGCCTTTTAAATAAAGCTGTGATTTCAATACTGTTTAGCTCTGTTCAGTTTTATCCCCCTGCTCTCTGTTTTGAATTGGCCATGCTGTGCTTTTTTTTTTTTTTATCAATACATAAATACCAAAATGATCCAACTCCTCTTTCAAAACTTGTACCTTCCACTGACAAGCATTTACTTTCTTTTGAGGCTACGCACTTTGCCACCATCGGAGAGTTCCTGTTTTCAGTGCTCAAACTGGAAAACTGACTTGAGCGAGCACACCGTCCTGCAGTTCTAACACTCTGCTTCTCTACTAGATGGACTACTGTCGTTTCCGAAAGGAGAGTTCGCACATTTGGCGGCAGCTGTTGCTTCATAATACTGAACACATGCTGAATAACTGCTGCTGTCAGTTATCATGGATCACTGAAGCCAGGAGGCAACTTTTCTTGGCAAATTTCTCAAATTACTTTGAGCTGCTTGATAAGGAAAGGGACCATCAATCCCTACATGCTGCCTCCTCTCCACCACCTGGTATGGAATTCTTAATGTAGGCCAATAAGTATACACTAACACTTACAAAACTACAAGAGAAACTAACCTGTTCTGCAACTTCTCTGCTCATTGCCAGGGCCAGCTGCAGCTGCAGCTCTTCCTCCCCGCTCGTCTGAGGCCGCGCCTGCTCCAACTCTGAAGACACTCGAGGTGATGTAGCTATTTGGAGAAAACAAAAGGCACAATCCCAACTCGATTTTAGCAAATATGTTTCATCAAATTCCTATTAGTCATCCTGAGAACCAACTGTTCCAGATTATACACAGCTGGGCCACAGGTTTATGATATTTTTGCCCCACCTTTTGACCATAAGGTTCCCAAATCAAAACATTAAGCACAATCATTGTAAAAGTCCAAATTGTGTAAGAATCCATTTACATCTAGCAAGATCAGTAAGGTACTCTGAACTGCCTGGGGGGAAAGTAACCCTGGCATCTAAACCACCAACACTTATTGCCACTCATCTCAGGGGGTGGGCAGGGGGTGGAGCAATGAAGACACACACACACACACACAAGCTCTTCCTTAAAGAGCTCCTTCAAGATCTGCCTCTAATAACATGTTTTTCATGGAATCATAGAATTGTAGTAGAGTTCGAAGGGACCATGAGGGCCTGCTCTCAAAAGTTACAGGCCCAGAGAAAATACTGCAAGTTCCACAAGCCGATGTTTCCCATTTGACATAACTGAACGTACACAGCTGGGGAGATGCTGATGAGGGAGGAATCTACAAGACAGTGCAGCAATTTCAACATATAATACTATGGTGGCTGCAGGCACTACGTTCCCACCAGCCTAAGTTTTTAAGAGCTAGTAAAGGTAAAGGGACCCCTGACCATTAGGTCCAGTCGTGGCCGACTCTGGGGCTGCAGCGCTCATCTCGCTTTATTGGCTGAGGAAGCCAGTGTACAGCTTCCAGGTCATGTGGCCAGAATGACTAAGCCGCTTCTGGTAAACCAGAGCAGCGCACGGAAATGCCGTTTACCTTCCCGCCGGAGCGGTACCTATTTATCTACTTGCACTTTGATGTGCTTTCGAACTGCTAGGTGGGCAGGAGCAGGGACTGAGCAACGGGAGCTCACCCCATCGCAGGGATTCGAACTGCCAACCTTCTGATCAGCAAGTCCTAGGCTCTGTGGTTTAACCCACAGCACCACCCACGTTTAAGAGCTACTGCCCCTCTAATTCACTGCATAAGTGTGGAGGTGGATATTTTTCCATCTAGTTAAAGCTTCTGGGGAGTCGTTGGCGATCAGAGTCACCAGCCTCTGGAGTTACTTTTGGAATGTGAAATTTCTGTGTTGCCTTTGCTCATTATCTTTTAGGGAGGAGAGCATAATAAATCAGCCAAGACAGAGGCCTTTCCCCCTCTTGCCTCTTCTGGAGCTCTGCTACCTAGCGACAGTGAGGAGAAGCCACCGCGAGGATGATCATGCTCTTTCTTGGCTCAGGACATGGGGCTACTGCTGAGAGGAGGGTGTCTCTATTGGAAGAGGGAGAGCTGCCTGAAGGTCCCTATGAGAATTATGCCTTCTCCTTTGGGGCTAGAGTCGAAATCTGAGCAAGTGGGGAGCTCTCATCTAGGACAAATGTAGGGCTTCTGGCTGGAAATTTTGGTTTGCATGTATATTGTGAACTAAACCATTGCATTGTGAGGGGAAGGCAGGTTATTTATTACATTTATATCCCACTTTTCCTCCAAGGAGCTTGAGTAGAATACCTCCAAGGAAGGAGAGTCCACCACCTCTCATGGGAGCCTGTTTGTTCCACTGCCAAACAGCTCTTACTGTCAGAAAGTTTAGTAGGAATCTCCTTTCTTGAAATTGAATCCACTGGTTTGGATCCTATCCTCCAGAGAAGGAGAAAACAAGCTTGCTCCATCCTCCATGCGACAGCCCTTCAGATATTTGAAGATGGCTATCATATCTCCTTTCAGTCTCCTCTTTACTAGGCTAAACATACCCAACTCCCTCAACTGTCCCTCATCAGCCTTGGTTTCCAGACCCTTTATCATCTTGGTTGCCCTACTTTTCACACATTCCAGCTTGTCAATATCCTTCTTAAATTGTGATGTCCAGAAGTGGACACAGTACTCCAGGTGTGGTCTGACCAAACCCAACCGGTGGCTACTGTCACTGGCCAGGGGCTGCTTCCCCTGTCTTGCCCTTAGAGGAGGAGGAGGCCGAGTCACCAGCCACTGAAGCTATGCAGCACTCAGCTCCACGATTGGCCTCCTCTTCCCCCTCCTGCCGCTCCCATTAACCTCAGCAAGTATGGGCAATGATCTGGGACAATGGGAGTTGTAGTTGACCTAGAAGGCACCAGTGCCATTTTGGATCCCTCAAGCTGGACAGCAATTTCCAATATACCAGCATGCAAGCTATGCCAAAGCACTATCTTCCATGCTAGAACTCCCCACCCCTAATGACACAGACACCTATCATACAGCTAACAGACTATTTCACTCCACAAGGCAACAAAACAAAACTCAATATTTTGGTGTACCAGCTGTGACCAACACTCTCAATTTGGAAAAAGGCTTCAGTTCTATGCTTACCTCCAAGGACTAAGTTCCACTGAGCTCGCCTCTGAGCAAATATGCACTGGATTATATTGCAAGACATACTGCTTCATCACACCACAGCTTTCTGTATTCAGTTACCTTTTTAAGCCACTTTAAAGCTTCTTCTGCTCAATGGCTCTGACCGATTTAAATTCTTGACTGTGTTTCATATTAAGACATACTGATTAAACCAAATCAGTTTTCATTAAATTTTATGAGGGGAGCGATAAATTCCATCTACACAATGAAGTGTCCTGTCATCACATGTTTCATGCAAGATTTAAATCAATGAATGAAGCTAGTGTTGTCATTAAGATTTCAGTACTGACATTCCACAAACACACACATCCGACACACACACTTATCCAGTCTTTTAATTTCTAGAATTACCAAAAGATCTGTGCGTTATCAGCAAAATGCTTGATTTGCAAGGGTCTAGCATAAAGGGTGTTGCCTTAGCAAGACAAAGAGATTCTTATTCCACAGCACATGATAGTTAAATCAGACGTTTATGCAAGATGGCACTGAATAGATCCAATTTTGACATCCTAAGCCCTGCTTTGTTACTGCTTTGATAATTTTTGAGATTAAAGCTTCTCAGACCACATGAGAATCACTGAAGGATGTTCCCTCTTACATAAAAATGCCCTATGTTGCCTTGTGGAATATACTCCAGGCTACGGTAAAGGGACAATATTTCCAATTTTGGCAGTCATTAAAAACCGAATTCTCCTCTGTCCCTGAGATTTGCAATAATGTTTCATACATTTTTCCTAGATGTTTTTCTATATTTTTGCTGGATTTCAGCCATTATTATTATTGTTGTTGTTGTTATTATTAAATATATTTATATCTTGCCTTTCTCCTATGCTGGGGTTTGAAGCAGCTTACAACAGTAAAAAACAACAACCCAACATTATAAAATGCATAGTAATAAAAACAAACTAGTTAAAAGTAATAATTCAAATATATCAGAACACATTTGGAACCAGCATCAAAAACCCCGTTGGCCTTTATAGCAGCCCAGTGATTAGCACTGCCTGCACCTTAGTTTCCAAAGGTTTCCCTGAACAGGAAAGTCTTAGCCTACCCAGCAAAAGGATAACAAACAGAGAGGGAGACAGTTTAAACCATGGGTAGGCAAACTAAGGCCTGGGGGCCGGATCCAGCCCAATTGCCTTCTAAATCCGGCCCACGGACGGTCCGGGAATCAGCGTGTTTTTTACATGAGTAGAATGTGTACTTTTATTTAAAATGCATCTCTGGGTTATTTGTGGGACATAGGAATTTTTTCTTTTTTTTCTGTCCAAAATATAGTCTGGCCCCACACAAGGTCTGAGGGACAGTGGATCGGCCCCCTGCTGAAAAGGTTTGCTGACCCCTGGTTTAAACTCTCTTGGGAGGGATTTGCACAATCTGTGAGCAGCAACAGAAAACGGCTCCCAGCAAGACCCACCTAGCACAGCCATTTACCGGTACTTCCTTTTAGCACCAGACATACCTCATCTTCCTGGATTTGGGGGGATAATCACAATCATGCTCCTTGTTTCTGTGTGTGCATGCGCACATGCATGTGCGTTTGGGGTAATGCTGGCAGTTAAACTTGACAGTTTACTATTTACTGTGTATGTAAACTGCCTAGAGAAGTTCTGCATTTGGTGATAAATAAATCAGATACAGTGGTACCTCGGGTTACAGACACTTCAGGTTACAGACACTTCAGGTTAGACTCTGCTAACCCAGAAATATTACCTCGGGTTAAGAACTTTGCTTCAGGATGAGAACAGAAACCGTGTGGTGACGGCACAGCGGGAGGCCCCATTAGCTAAAGTGGTACCTCAGCTTAAGAACAGTTTCAGGTTAAGAATGGACCTCCAGAACGAATTAAGTTCTTAACCCGAGGTACCACTGTGTGTGTGTGTGTGTGTGTGTGTGCGTGTGTTGGGGGGGGGCACTTGAAACATCATAGGGCTTTTAAAGCAACAGCCCCACCCTTGGGGGGTGGGGGGAAGGAGTAAAGAAACATGGTAACTTTCCCCACCCTCCACTACACAGCAGGATATTAAATACAGTGGTACCTCAGGTTAAGTACTTAATTCATTCTGGAGGTCCGTTCTTAACCTGAAACTGTTCTTAACCTGAAGCACCACTTTAGCTAATGGGGCCTCCTGCTGCTGCCGCGCCGCCGGAGCACAATTTCTGTTCTTATCCTGAAGCAAAGTTCTTAACCTAGGTTAGCGGAGTGTGTAACCTGAAGCGTGTGTAACCTGAAGTGAATGTAACCCGAGGTACCACTGAAAGGGTAAACTATCAAATACATTACCCTTTCCGAAGAAGCAATATTCCAACAGCAAGACTATATCTATCCTTCGTTTTAGTTCTTTGATTGGGGATTAGTTTCTGGAAAGAACAGGTATCAGTTTTCATCCCAAATTAATTGACTGGAATGCATGTGAATGAAGGCCAGTATGGGAAGAGCAAACAAAGGGGAAGAGGGAGTTCCAGAAAGGCTATCAGTTTTCACCATTTAGGAGTGTGCTCGCACACACGTGTGTGTGCACACGCTCACACTTCAGAAGCTGGACAGGAAAAACATAAAGCACTTTTTTTAAAAAAAAGGCACCATGATACTAAAGCCAAATAATGAGACCTGGTAACGAGTAATGAATATTAGTGACACAAGACCTTTCCAGCAAATGAAGGGAGTTGGGGAACCTAGATGTTACATTCACTTCAGGCAAAAAGCATCAACCTCCAAGCATACATAACCACTGATTTCCAAGCACCTTTAACTACCCACAAACAAAACACTGTTAATAATCACAGAACAGTTGAGAATAAGAACAAGAAGAGTCTTGTAACTCTTTTAAAACTAACATATTTTTATGGAATACTTTTTTTTTACTTAATCGGCTGTATGAATATTCAACAGAAAAAAAAGTTTATAAAGTTATCACGCATGGTGGGAAAGAAATGTCTAATAACATTAAAAACTACAAGATCAGTGAAGTTATAGGACTGGCCCAGTGAAGTTATAGGACTGACGACATACATATTGCTCTGTGTCCCTCCAGAAGTCTGCTTAGTAACAGGCAGTTTTTTAGTAGTCTGCTAAAAGACCAGTAGCATGCATCCTCATTGTGTTTCTTACACAGCCAGCATAGAAACACAAGCTACAACCCTCTCAGCAGACCAGTAATTTTTTTTTTAAGGCTAGTTGCTTTGGATGACCTATTTACAAGGCTGGGCTAACATGCAATTAGATGACATAAGGGCCACTGACTCAGGTAGCTTCCTCCACACACCAAAGCATCAGACCAACTCATGGAGGATCACTCTATCAATAGCTACTAGCCTTGACAGCCATGCAGTATTTGTAAATATTTCAGAACATTACAACTGAATAGTGAACACTTCCCTTAGCATTACATTTTAAGAAGCGGTGGCACTGTGCACTGTTAATTCGCTAAGTTTTGCATAAAAACCTGTACACAAACATATATGGCCTAGTTCACCCTTAACACCATCCCCATTTCTGCTACTGCCATAATAACACTAAGCTAAGTCATGATTTAGCTTAGGTGTTATGCCTGACCCTGGACTCATGGTTTGTCTCTTGAAACAAGCCACAAGCTGTAGCCAAGGTTTGTTCTTGGCATACCGTTCTTGGCTTACCATCCAGAATTCAGAGACAAACCTTGAGCCCAGGTTCACACAAAGCACTAAGCCAAACCATAGTTTCGCTCCAGTAGTGCTGCAGCAGCAAGACTAGGAAAGGAGTGGAGCAGATATTATTTTTGCTCTGGGTACCCACATGCTTATTTGTTCATGCTGATCTCGTTTACTGGGCCTATTAGATGTGTTTCCTAAGGACAGTCACCTGGGAAAAGTTAATTATAACAGTGATATTTTAAAAATGGTATTCCAGTTGCCCACTTTCACTTCTACTGTGTTCATTCACAATGTTACTAGTAAATTTTATGTAACAGTCATCTCCAATAGTGATAAATTTTCACAAAGTAATACAGTAGAATAGTTTTTCCAGTACAACACCTATTCTCAGTCTCCTCCTATCAGGATAATTGAGGGCTCTGTCATGGTAAGTATAGTTCTGGCTCTTTTTTTAAGTGCTCCACCCAAAAGTATGTGATACAGGGCACTGTGCAGTTTTACTAGTAAAACACATCGAGTTACAACCCGCACAGCATGGGCCTCCAAATTAAGAGGCTCTTCTGTTTCACACGTACCCATCTCAACTGGCTAACTGCACACACCTCACAGGTTCAACACAATTGGCTTGAAAATCCACATTTCCTTTGATGTACCCACCAATCAGGGGAGAGATAACCTTTGGAGAAGCACAGAAGCCCCTCAATCAAGCATATAGCTTGTTATTGTTTTTATAATGTACTTTTTAAAAATTGTTTAATGTATCCTTTTATAACTGTAGGTTGCTTTTGAGACATTTGGGTAGCAAGCGACAAATCAATGTATTAAGAAAATACTTACACCCGTGATAAGAAGCCGGTGAGCCTCCTGATTTGCCATATTCTTGCTCCGAGTAGCTGGTGGAGAGATTAGGCTGGCTGGAGCCTCTGCCAAAGGTGATCTGATTACTACCAACCCCAGTGGCCACCTGTGCCATACGCTCTTTGGTCTTCAGGGCTTGGGCCCTCTCTGTCTTGAGCCGATCGTCATCTTTCAGGAGGGACACCAACTGCTTGGACTTCTCCCGCACATTGATGCCCTGGTCCTTACCATCCCGGTCAATGTACTGGAAATCCTTCAGAGTCTGGATAGCAAAGATGTTCTCTTTGCATTGTTGTGCCACCCTTTCCGACCCAGTTTTAATCAGGTAATCCAACAGAGTTAAAGCCTTATAAACATGCCTCCAGTTTTTACCATGGTCATTCAGCCGCTTCCAGATCATGCTCATGATTTCAGAAAAGGCCACCACATTATATGTTAGATCTGCTATTTCGGTCATTAAGGAGCTGGATGGGCCCCAGGGGTCATTTGAAGTCGCTTCCCGAACTTTTATTTCAGCCTCTGAATAATTGTTCACAATGTTTTTCATTTGTCTCCTAATCGAAGAAGATGTCATTTTTATCTCCTCCTAAATCAAGGCAGGTTCCCCCCAAAAAGACCTCAGAGACCGGCCACAGTTTTCTCCAATTTTCAAGTCCCTGTGATATGAAGACACGATGTGTGTGACCAACTTGGAGCAAGTTCTGGTAAAGTCATTTCCTCCCCTCACGAAAGGTACAAAAGAAACTGGAAACTCTGACCTAAAAAAGAAACACAGAAAACTATCAGTTGCCATTTTAATTGTTCGCTTACATTTAAAAAAGCTAGCCAAAGCAAACATTCAGATTTTCCCTGAACTGTCACCAAAAGGTAATTTTCTTGTTCTAGAACTACAGAACAAAATTATTACACCACAGATAGGGTTCCCCTCACAAACCAATTTCATAAGCAATCTGTATATGAAATCCAGACACAGGCACAACAGCCCTAGTTGCAGAATAAAGTGCCAGGAGAGAAGAATGGAGTGAAGTTGAAAGTGAACATTGTGACACTGGACTTCTGGTTTGAAGCAAGTTCTGTTGAAATTACGTACTTCCTTCCCTTTAATTACACAACAAATTTAAGACAGTCCATCCTATTGGAGGCACAGCATCCACCAGAAAGGCATCAACTCAGGGCTCAAAACCCTGTTGCCATCCTACACACACACACACACACACACACACACACACTACAAACACTCCCAGACATTATCAGGAGTTCATGCACACCTCACTTCCATTATCCAGTTCTCTCACACACCCAAAGACATTATAAGTCAAGAGCACTACGCTTTTGTCAAGATGCTACTTGACCAGGGTAGGGGAGTCACAAAGTGAGTCAGAAAACAATGCACAGTAAGATGTTTTCATTATAACTGTGCATTAAATAAATTAATCTAGCAGATTACCGCAAAGTCACTAAACAAACTTGCAAACTCAGCAAAAGTAGAGGCCCCCACACAGCAAATGAACTTGCAACTGCAGCAGGAAACCAAATTAAATTTCATGCAGCAGCTGCTGGTTGAAAATACCAGAACAGGAACACCCACACGAACTGCCTTTTCAGAGGCAGAGAGCTGCTAGAACAGTTGCAGTAGCCTGTCAGTTTATTGTCAAAGAGCACTCTCTCGGTCTCTCTCAGTCTTGTGACTTATTCGTGCAACTGGAATGCCATCCGCAGTGAAGTTCAACTGATGCCTGCGATGTTGTCACTGGTTTTGTCAGACAGGCCTCAACAATTTTGCCTTCCCATGGCTTCATCAGTGGCACAGCAGCTTAGTTGCATCGCCAACCACATCTTGGGTTGTGACTTGCATGGCAGGAGGGGCTGCTGAAAACTAAGGAAGCTAGAGAAATTTGCAGTCAAATCCTACCGCCAAAACTGCACTGAGCTACACTATGATCCCTTTACTACAGTACTGTGGTTTTCAGATATTCCACCATTCCCTAAAATGTCTGGGGTACAAAAAATTTAAAGTCAGATGAAGCTGGCCAACATGATGGGAGTCCATCAACATCTGCTGAGCTACAGGTTAGCAAACTCCTGCTCTAGAAAAATTCAGGCACCCCAAAAGACCTTTATAACACAATTAATGCATATGCTCCTAACTATTAATTAAGGTTCCTGCCTCAAAACAGCTTCCTATTGAAATGTACAAGGCACTCTACCTCTAAGGAGAAGTTGTTTACGTTTTAAAATTGGCAATACAGCGTCATTCTCTACCACCACAAGCCCAGTTCCAGAAGTGAGCCTGCTCAGGAAAATTATCATATCATATTATTACACACAGAGTATATATGCAGCCATAGTACATTCTACAATGTATTTACATTACACAACTTAGTCTCTATATCAATCTAAATCTCATAGATGATAATACCAGTTCAGGAAAGACCTTAGAAACAGTGACTCCCATGGTAGTAAGGTGGGTTTCATCACCATCCCATATACCAGTTCAAGTGGGGGCAGGGGGGGGGACTCCCACTACAAGCTTGCCTTATAACTAAACCAGCCCAATTTGGTCCACAAAGAGGTATACAAAAGAGGATGCAGAGTTGAAATGACCTTCCAAGGTTTCAGAAGCTTTTGCACACACACACACACACACACACACACCCAACCAAGATAGCATTCAAGCTTTTACCCAAGTGACTGCAGGTGTTTTCCCCATCTCTGAGTGCTTGTGGGAAAGTGATGTGAATGTATGATGGTCAGGTGCGTAGCCTACTAACCCATGAACTCTGTAACCAGATTTAGCGACCTGCAGCACAAAATATGCGTATGAACACTGTCATAGGCATCTAGCATCACATGAAGTGATGCAAATGATCTGATGCCCAGAGCTCTTCTGTGAATCAAGTTGACCCCTTTTGCCTCATCAAGAATGTGATTTCTGCAAACTGTCAGGGGGTGGGGGCGGCGAGAGAGAGAAACAGATCTGCTTAATAAGTTCACTTGCCAAAGGCAGAGACTTCCTAGATTTTTGCTACTTCCAAGTCCTCTTGAAATGGGTGGGAGCTGAGGACTTGGCACTTAATTCTGAACAAACATGGTGAGAATTGGGCTTACAACCTTGCTACACCAAAGCATATAATAAAAGCCTGCTTCTTTGCCTCATGGTGGCATAGGGAGTGGGTGATTTCTACCAGGGAAACAGCAGGAGAAAAAGGGCTGAGCTCTTCCTCCATCCACCACGCCTCTGCTCAAAATTGCCCCTTTCTCATGAAGCCTTGTAGCAAAGAACTGGGCTGTTTCTCTTTTTATTACATACATCCATCTGCAACATTTAATTAGATTCTTAATGATAAGTATGTAAGTGAATGAACAAATTGCTTTGGGTACCAATTGCGCTGCCTAAGAACACATGCTTTAAAAGTATTTCAAAGACTTGTTTCCAAAACTAAACGGGGGGAAACGGAACTGTTCTGTATGATGCTGCAGAGAAGTGTGTATTAAAAGAAGCTATGAAGCTGGGCACAATGCATAAAAGCCCACATGCAGAACACATATTAGGTCTCCTGCACCATTGTGCAGAAGAGAAAAAGCAGCAATTCATGTGAATAGAACAGCATGGAGTGCTGGAACAGCCCCACACACGCTGTCTCACTCTCACACAGGCTATTTAAACACAAAGTTATTCAGAGATGGGGTCAAACTAGGGTTTGGGAAGCAAGCTTTCGTTCAGGAAGGGGGCAGGAACCAGAACTACTCTTCTGAAGTCTACACACTGGTCTTCTTCAAACTCCCAGTCTGTGAAAGGATGACGGCAGCCTTCAAACACTAAACTTATGGAAGTTTTCCATTTCCTCTTTCATCATTCAAACAGTGTGCCTGGTTACTGAGAAAAGTAGGCAGGTGGCAAGAAGCAAAGAAGGTTAATTGTCTAAGGGGCTCGTTTCTCCAAGATAAAAGTGTATTCATAGTCCAAAAGATAAAAGTGTATTTTGGAGAGGGAGTTAAAAGACATTTCCCAGTAGCAGGTTAAAAAAAGAAAGATCCCAAATATTGGAATTTAACTCCTGAATAAGAGTTTGTGGGCGAAGTATGGACTATGCCAACCTTCCCCAACCTGATGCCCTCCAAATGTTGTGGGATTCCAAATCCTATCAGCCACTTCCAACATTGTCAACGGGCAGGAATGGTGGGATTTTAATCTGGTCACATCTGGTGGGCACTAGACGGAGGAAATAGACCAAAGATCTCTTATCAGAGTGCTGGAAATTTACCCCCATAATCATATCTGGATCGATTTTGTAAAATAAGTGTACTTTTTCCACAATGAAATCTATAGGAGGAAATACAACTGGCCTACATTACATGGTAATAACACTCAAGTAAGCCTATGCGATGTGCTCTGAACACTTAAGAAGTGTTGTTATATTATTTGTCATGTTATCTCACACCACTTTTGCATGGAATTTAATGTGGTACACATAGAATTCCCAGGTGGTTCCCCATTGAGGCGCCAAACAGATATAGATCCATCAAGCTTCAACAAGGTTCACAGGACCCTGCTCTGGGATCTATGAACTGCAGGTTATGAACATGAGTATTACAAGATTTGAGGCTTTTGTCCTTAATTTAAGTAAGGCACCCCCAAAAGATTCCTCTTTCAGCCATCAGAAGTATTAACAGGGCAGGGACAGGAAGGATAACAGGAAACCTGAAGCAGCAAGATGCTGTGTCAATGAAGTCGTCTGGATAAAAAAGAAGAATACCGCAAACGAAAACCACATATTATTAGTCATTCTGAGCAAAGAAAGGAAGAAACTGTAGAGTTAGTAAAATAGTGGAGAAATTCTGTTGCATCACCATATAATCAACTTGCTGTTGAAAACAGAGAAGGAGAGAAGACTAGGGACACACCTGCCCTGATCATCTGACATTTAATTGAAGGTTGACATTCTCCAGGCTTCTCTGCAGATGCAAAGAGGCCACACTCTAGCTCCTGGTAGCTCTATGGTGAAAGACTTGTACCCTTTGCATCAGGAAATAGAGCAGAACACCAGTTCAATTTTAGACTGACAGCGCACATAAGCTCTAGAACCAACGTAGTCAAAGCATATCATCACACAAGGATGTGATACTCACGTAGACTGCACTGTGTTCATTTCAAAACAGAACTTGGCCAGTCAGACATAGCTTGGCCAGTCAGAGAGTTATTTGAGTTCTTAACAAATAAAAACTTTTTATTCTTTCTTTCTTGGCTGGGGGTCAGAATACCTCAAAGATATAAAAAAATAATGTTTCGATGTTTTTGTATGTATGTGTTGCCTCTTGACAAATTTCAAAGCAGTGGGAATTACAAAGAACAAGTAGTATTTATAAACATTATTCTCTGGCAGAAGTAACAACCAAACTGGGGTATACAATCTGCAGTTGTACAATATTCACACACGCCAGCCAGCCTGTAGAACACTATGCTGCTGTCACCAGAAACCTACAGCACTTTTGCATTCATGTGTGTCTAAACTCCAGGGAGAGCTACTCCAATAACTTGCGATTACTCTCTGAATTACCAGCACCAAAAGATCACGTCACCATTCTACACAAAAAACGGATAACCCAGCAGGTCCCAAGGGTGTTAAACTTCTACAAATTGTTAATGAAAACTGCAGTCTTCGGCAAGGGACAGAACTAAGTGTAAAACAAGCCACGCCCCCCCATTTATTTCCTAATTATTCAACATCTGGAGAAAACCAAAACCTTTGCCCTGCTT